TCCCTCTTTTTTTGGCCTGGTGAGTTTTTTTTTTTTTTTTTTTTGTGTTTTTTTTTTTTTTTTGGGGGGGGGGGGGAATCTGAAATTTCTCTAATTAGCAATATGATGATGGAATTTTTTAAATTTGTTTTGAGAAGTATGATTTTTGAGGCCTAGGGCTTGGTCATCACAAGTTATAAAGCATTCTGTTTTTTGTGCCTCATACTTCTGATTGTCGATAAAGTAATCTTCCTATATTTTATGGTGATTTAGTCGTTTATGTTCCTGCAGTGTTTGCTTTGGTTATTCCTGTGGTAGGTGTCATAGCATGCCATTCTTGTGCATACGACATATCTTGTGGCATTTATTATATGCTTATATACTGAGCATTGATTTACAAATCAGGCTTACTTAAATGCCGACATTTGATTGCCTGTTGTTAGTCTGGCCCTATTTTTGAATTCTGCACGTCTTTGGGATTACTTATGTTGATTCCTTCTTTTGGTTTCCTCCTTGGGTCAGTCTGAAGTATATGTGATTGATATTCTAACCTGATCTCATGTTCTGCATAGTGTAAGGCTACATTTGAAATCACTTGACTTTTCTTTGGACAAAGACAAGGATATTATTGGAGTAAAGATGGTGTTTGGATTGTTTTGGTAAATTTCCCATTTTTTTTCCAAGAGGCATAAATCCTTTTGACTTAATATGGCAAATTTGAAAATGAATAAGCTTTTTTTGGAGGATCTTTATATTCTATTATGAAACAAATTTTGATTGAGAAACATAGTTGTGTAATATGAAAATAGTATAAACATTTTCTTTTGTTTATGGAGAAAATTTGAAAAGGAATCAAACCCCATCTTAAGCTTTTAGCAGCTTATTAAAATTTGTTGGCATTCCTCCAGTGTATCATCGACCACCAAGCACTACCGTGTCTTCTGAACCTGTTGAACAGTAATTATAAGAAGAGTGTGAAGAAGGAAGCTTGCTGGACTATCTCAAACATCACTGCCGGCACCAAGGATCAGATTCAGGTAAGCAAGCACCAAAAGTTTTTAACTATTGCTTCTGTTGTGGTGCGGGTCATAATTCTTGGTTTCTGCTAGTGGACCTGGAATATTAGTTATGAAAACGGCCTGATGTGCTCCTCATTTTGGCCATCTTACGTGCTGGTGACATGATTGTTGTGATTCTGCAGGCTGTAATTGAGGCTAGTATAATTGGTCCTCTGGTTCATCTGCTTCAAAATGCGGAGTTTGATATCAAGAAGGAGGCTGCATGGGCAATCTCAAATGCTACATCTGGTGGAACTCATGAACAAATTAAGTATGCTATTGATGCTTATTTTTGGATTCCTCTGCTCAAATAGTATTGTTGCATACTCGAATGGACTTGTTTCATTATAATTGTTGATTGCAGGTATTTTGTTAGTCAGTCATGTATCAAGCCATTATGTGATCTACTTGTTTGTCCTGATGCAAGAATTGTCACAGTCTGTTTAGAAGGGCTGGAAAACATTTTGAAGGTTGGGGAAGCTAAGAACTTGGCCCGGACAGGAGATGTAAATCTCTATGCTCAAATGATTGATGATGCTGAGGGGTTGGAGAAAATTGAGAATCTACAAAGTCATGACAACAATGAGATTTATGAGAAGGCAGTGAAGATTCTTGAGACATACTGGTTGGAGGAAGATGATGAGACAATGCCACATGGTGATTCTGCCCCATTGGAGTTCCACTTTGGAGGGGGTGATGTTCCTGTTCCTTCCGGTGGGTTTGACTTCAAGTGAAGGTTTGCATACCTCTTTTCAGCTCATGTTACTGTTTCATATTTAGTACGCCTTTTTTTCTTAATTACTTTTACTTGGTGTTTCTGGTATCCCAATCTACAATGGGCATTTGCTGCAATTTGTTTCCTTGGTGTTTGAAACTAGTTTGTATGTTGTGAATTGCAGGACTCTTCAAGAGAAGTCATGTTGGACAGCATAGTCAAGCGTCTGTCATCTTGTTCTGAACTTGCCCTGGTCCAGTCTCAAGGAGCTGATTCGGGTTTCCTACAATGGCCAGAAGTAAATGCCAGTGATTGAATATAAATGGTTTGATTTTTTGGATTCGTTCATTATGGACGCCATTTCATATTTTTGATGGGTATAGAGTTGATGTTGAGTCCTTTTTGTTTTTTGGAAATTGTTTTGACGTGATTTCTGGAATATCATTTTTTCAGTTGCTTTTTATTTTTGCACTCTTAAACCTTTATTCTTCCAGCTTATAGTTATAAGAAATGTTGGGAATTTCCTTTCCCTTGGAGTAATGTGATGAAATTTTTTTCTGTTCCTTGCGGGTTGAGTTGTAACAGTTGTGGACTGCACATACAGATTAACCCAGAAAACAAAAAAAATAAAATAAAAAATCCATGCATTATTTAAATGAGCTCCTCGGATGCTTGAATAAGAGCATCTCTAAGAGACTGTAAAGTACAAAAATAGTTAAAATTTAGTTAATCAAAGCAAAAAATCATACTCTAGCAGATGTTTTTCAAATACTCTAAAATATATTTTTGTTACTGTGATACTTTAAATATAGAGTATTACTGTAGCAACTTGTAAACATGTTTTATGTTATTTTCTCTCTCTCTTTCTTTTCTTTCATTCTCTCTCTTTCATTATTCTAAAAAAAAATAATATAAAAGGAATGAGAGAAATATTTAAAATGAGTAGTTAAAAATATAGATAATTTGTTGGAGTGTATATTGAAAAAGTGAGTAATTAAAATAGAAAAAATTATATTTTAGATAACTAAAATACAATTTGTTGTTGGAGATGCTATAAGGTATTAATAATATGAGTAGAGGTTGCAAATGAGAGGGTTGAGTTGTTTTAAGATGGTTGGGTGTAAAATAAATTTAATTTGTTTTCAACTTGTTTAATAAATGAGTTAGGTCAAAACAAGTTGGGTTAAATTCATTGACTTATAAAATAATTAAAAATTTTAATATAAATACATATTAATACATTAAAAATATACACATTAATACATCAAATACATACTAACATACTAAAAATATGTAGACATATACTAACACATAAAAACAAAAACACTTATTTTATTTATTACTTGTGTCGTGGTTGGGCCACGGGGTGGGTCATGGGTCATGGTCCGAGTCATGTATATTAGTGTGTGTGATTTTAGTGTGCTTGTATGTGTGTATTTTTTAGTGTATTAGTGTGTTTGTATATTTTTTTGGTATATTAATATATTTATTTGATTTTATTAGTTTTATAATTTAATAAAGATAAATACTCAACTCAATGGGTACCATTTATAATTCATATTAACTCGTTTTAATTAAAATGAATCCTATTACCTAACTCATTTAGAATGCGCATTAATTACTATATGTACCAACTTATTTATGGGTGAGTTCGACAGATTAATGAGTAATTGATTAAGGTTGGCACCTCGAGGTAGGAGCATGAGACCTTGGGAAAAATAATATAAAACCAAATATTAAATTTAGTGCTCACAATTGCTTGACAAAGTAGGGAGTTAAGTTATAGGGAAAGTCTACGGTACCATCTATTATCATTTTTTATGGTATAATTATAAATTTGAAAGGAAAAATTCTAACTGCTCAAGGAAAAACTATGATTGATCATAGGTACCCATGATCGATCATGGGCTTTTCTTGAGCAAATGTAACTTCTCCCTTATGAGTTGTAACTTGATTTTTAAAAATTGTAACTTAACACTTGAAAGTTGTAATTTCGGTATCGTTTTTAATCTTCCATGATCAATTATGTATTTTACAAGTTATAACTTATACTTTAAAAAACTTGTAATGTAACCCTAAAAAGTTCTAAATTTTGATAGGGCACCGTAGCTTTTCCCTAAGTTATAAGAGAACACTAAAATTGTAACAAAGGGATTGGAATCCCAAAATAAAAAACAAGTGTGAATTCAAATTAAATGAATATAAGGTTGTGAGAAAGACTATGGTACACAAAAAAAAAAATAAATTTTTAGTACGGTATCGAAAGTTACTACTTTTAATGATAAGGTTATACAGTTGAAAGGTAAAGTTACAACTCGTCGAGGGAAGTTTGTGATTGATTATGAAATCCTTTGAACAGTTTTAACTTCTCATTTACTAGTTATAACTTGACCTTTAAAAGTTGAGATAAAATTATGTTGCCCAAATTTATTTATCAAATTTTATATCTCAAATGATGTGTCAAAATCTTATACATTGAATATTTAGAAAAGTTAGTGGACCTCACTGATCTAACCACCCACACTCAATTGAGATACAAGTTTTGGTAAGCATAGCATTGCTCTAAAAGTTGTAATTTAACCTTTAAAAGTAATATTTTTTTTATCGATCACAATATTTTAGCAGCGATTATGCCCTTTATAAGTAACTTATACCTTAAAAAATTATTTATTGACTTTAAAAAATTATAATTTTTGGTACGGTACTGATGACGATACCTCAATCTTTCCCTAAGTTTTTGTCTTCTATTTGCTTGATCATGACATGTTCACAGTACATCTCAAGTAAAAAGCCCTTCGTAACTACCATGTCCCTTGATTAGACTTTATTAGTACAACCTTTCCTCAATACCGAAGACTACCATCCGAGTGAATAGCCCAGCCCTCGTCACCTGTACCTGCCTGTACACGGTCCCAGATGGACAATAGCTCCGTGTTCTGACTCTGGGACTCAATCACCCTGCTCAGTAGAGACGGCGTAGCCACCAAACTCCCCTAAGTACCCTGAGCTTAACCCATATAATATAGCCTGAACTGTCCCACAGTCTCGAGTATCTGCCACTCCCGGGAAGCTACACTAGCCAAAACTCCCCGTGACCTTCGGCTAAGTGCATCAGTCACTATGTTTGCCTTACCAGGATGGTAACGCAAAGTGAAGTCCTAGTCCTCTAAATATCCATCCACCGGCGTTGCCTCATGTTGAGGTCCTGTTGTGTGAAAATATACTTCAAACTCTTGTAGTCCGAAAACACTTCAAACTGCTCACCATACAGGTAGTGACGCCAAGCCTTCAAGGCAAAAACAATGGCCGCTAACTCCATGTCATGTGTGGGGTAATTTTGCTCGTGATTCTTTAGTTGTCGAGAACCATAAGCTACTACCCTCTCGAACTGCATCAAAACACATCCTAGCCAGTCCTTCGAGGCATCACAATAGACTGTGTACCTCTGTCCCCATTCTGGAACTATCAGAATAGGAACCGAAGTAAGCCTCCTCTTCAACTCCTGGAATGCATTCTCATAAGAATCATTTCACACAAACTTGACCTCTTTCCGGGTCAACTTCGTCATAGGCGTAGCCAATCGGGAGAAATCCTCAATAAACCACTGGTAGTACCCTACCAATCCTAAGAAACTACGTATCTCAAAGACTGACTTCGATCTCTCCCAATTCATAACTGCCTCAACCTTTTTCAGGTCCACAGATACACACGAAGCCGACACTACATGCCCCAGAAATTTCACCTTAGTAAGCCAAAATTCACATTTGTTGAACTTAGCGTACAACAAATAATCTCTCAATGTCTGGAGAACAATTCTCAAATGACTCTCATTCTCCTCCTTAGACTTGGAGTAGATCAAGATGTCATCAACGAAGACCATGATAAACTGATCTAAATAGGGTTGGAATATCCTGTGCATGAGATCTATGAATGCTGCTGGAGCATTCGTCAACCCAAATGGCATCATTGTGAACTCGAAATGCCCATACCGCGTTCTAAATGCCGTCTTAGGGATGTCTACCTCCTTAACCCTCAGTTGATGGTAATCGGTACGAAGATCTATCTTGGAGTAGACATACGCCCCTCTTAGCTGATCAAAAAAGTCATCAGTCCTCGGCAAAGGGTACCTATTCTTGATAGTAACCCTATTCAACTACCGATAGTCTATGCACAATTGAAGGGTTTTATCCTTCTTCTTGGCAAACAACGCCGGAGCGCCCCAAGGTGAAGTGTCGGTCTAATGAAGCCCTTGTCCAATAATTCTTGCAACTAGACTTTGAGTTCTTGCAACTCAACTGGTGCCATCATGTGTGGAGTCATAGAGATAGGCGATGTACCAGAATGTAACTCAATGGTGAAGTCTATATCCCTATATGGAGGTAATTCCGGTAGCTCATCCGAAAAACATCCTCATACTCACATACAACCCGAGGAAGGCCCAACTCCTATCTTGCCTCGTCCTCTATGGTATGGCTTGTAAGCCAACCCATTAACTGTCGGTGCCATCTAGAGTCGTACACGGCCTGAGGTAAAGCATCACACTTTTCCCCCTAGAACTTGAAACAAATACCTTCCGGCGTATAAGTAGTGACCCTCTTTCGATCACAATCAATGACTACCTGATGTGCCGCCAACCAATCCATACCAAGGATCACATCAAACTCTGACATGTCCATAACCCTAAGGTCCATGGTGAGTAGAATCCCCGAGATCTCTAACTCACGACCCCAACATATCTGATCAATTCTCACCCTAGCTCTTAGGGGATAACTCACATACAATGGCTCTTCCAAGGTCTCAACCTCTAAGCCCAAGTCTTTCACACAAGATGCAGCAATAAATGAATGCGATGCACTAGAATCAAATAATACCCTTGCCCAAAAGCGAGAGAGTATAAATGTACCCTATATCACCGACGGATTTGGCGGCTTAGTCTGAGGTATCATGGCGTAGACACGCCCCTGGGTCCCCGAAGTACCGGCTTGTAAGCCCTGGCCTCGGCCTCTACCTATGCCCTGGCCCATCTGGCCAAATTACGGAATCCCCGCACGTGAAGTAGTTTGGGCTTGAGTAGCATTTTAGAACTGGTACTGGCTCCCCTGGCCCATAGTAGGGTAATGATGAGTATAATGTGTCTGTGGCTACCCCACCAAAGTCTGGGACTGAGATGACCCATAACTTTGGGATCCTTGCCTTTGAGGACAATCCTGCTTTGTGTGACCCGGTTGGTGGCAATGATAGCAAGTCCTCTGGCCTGCTTGGTAGGAAGGCCTCTGATTTCTCCCACCTTGGGAGGATTGACCTTGGCATTGGCCTTGATAGCTGCGGCCCTGTCCCTGAAACCTTTGTGGAGTAGAAGTCCTCTACTTCTTCCTCAAGCTAGAATAAGAGGATTGACCCTCTTTCTTCTTGTCTTTTGCACCAGACTCCCAAATGCTCCTTGCGTCATCCACCTCTCTCTTAATGACCATAGCAGTCTCGACCATCAAGTCTAAGTCTTGTAGAAGAAGACCCACAATTTTACCCCGGATGGACAACTTAA